GAGGTGCTGTTGACGCTGGTGCTGCCGCTGAGGGTACTGGTGCTGTCCCTGCTGTGTCTAGAGTCGCCGCGCGGCCTCGGCCGTACTTCGTTCCGCTCCTTCAGCAGGTTCTTGGTCCTTCTCCTCCTGTAGAGTGTCCACCGCCTGTCCAGTCACAGTCACAGTTACCGCCCGCCTCCCCACTGCCTGCTCCCTCTCCTTACACTGGTCCTACTAGAGGTCTTGCTGAGCGTCGTGAGCCTGCGTCTCGTCCCGCGTCGCCTGTTCGTGCTGCTCGCGCTAGTCGTAGCGGTTCGCGTCAGCGTCCTCCTCCTGTCCCTGGCACGCACCGGATGTCTCTGCGTCCGTCCACTGCTCCTCTGCGTGTCCCTTTGCCTTCTCCTCCTGAGTCCTTTCTTCCTGCGCTTGCCGACCCGGAGTCGGACTCCCTTCGTGCTGCCAGTACTACCTTCACGCGTCTCCTTACTATTGTCGTCACTGACCCCTCTTTTGAGTCCACTGCTGCGTCTGCTCTTGTTGCTGAGCTCGTTGACTTTGCTGCTTGCTGTCGTCTAGACTACGCTGCTAGTCTTGTTGCTGAGTCTGCGTCTGTCTGTCCTCCGTCCGTCGGGGGTGAGTGTGCTCTTGGCACGGACGTCCTTGAGGACAGGCAGGAGGAGTTCCAGTGTCTGGCTGCTGCTTCACCTCATCTCGCGTCCGTACTGCTTACCTCTGAGGGAGACCCGGATGCACTAGACATCCCGACTCCGCGCTCTTACGCGGAGGCCGTAGAGGGTCCCTACTCCTCTCAGTGGCAGGCAGCTATGGATGGAGAGATGGCTTCCTGGAAGTCCACAGGCACCTACGTTGACGCGGTTCCTCCTCCTGGGGCGAACATCGTCAGTGGCATGTGGATCTTCAGGGTGAAGCGGCCGCCGGGCTCTCCACCTGTCTTCAAGGCGCGGTACGTGGCTCGTGGCTTCAGTCAGCGGCAGGGAGTTGACTACTTTCAGACCTTCTCTCCCACCCCGAAGATGACCACTCTTCGGGTGCTGCTACACATAGCCGCTCAGCGTGACTACGAGCTCCACTCCCTTGACTTCAGCACTGCTTTCCTGCAGGGTAGCCTGCATGAGGAGATCTGGCTGCGCCGTCCACCTGGCTTCATTGGGACTTTCCCTCCTGGCACCCAGTGGAGCCTCCGTCGGCCAGTCTACGGTCTCCGCCAGGCACCGCGCGAGTGGCACGACACACTCAGGACTACGCTTGCGGCTCTTCGGTTTGCTCCTTCTACTGCTGACCCGTCGTTGTTTCTGCGCACCGACACCTCTCTGCCGCCGTTCTACATCCTCGTGTACGTCGACGACTTGGTCTTTGCCACAGCTGACACTGCTGGACTCGCCCACGTGAAGTCCGAGCTGCAGAAGAGACACACGTGCACAGACCTGGGTTAACTGCGCAACTACCTTGGTTTGCAGATCACCCGGGACAGAGCACGCCGCACCATTACCTTGACTCAGTCACACATGGTGCAGCAGGTCCTTCAGCGCTTCGGCTTCACGTACTCCTCGCCTCAGGCCACTCCTCTGTCTACTCGCCACTCGCTCTCAGCTCTGCCTTCGGATGAGTCCGTAGAGTCAAGTGGCCCGTACCCAGAGCTTGTTGGCTGCCTCATGTACCTGATGACCTGCACACGACCTGACCTTGCATACCCTCTTAGCATTCTTGCACGCTATGTTGCTCCTGGGAGACACAGACCAGAGCACATGGCTGCAGCGAAGAGGGTGTTGCGCTACTTGTGCAGTACGTCGGGCATGGGGCTAGTGCTTGGAGGGCAGAGTCCAGTGGTCCTCACTGGGGACGCGGACGCTTCTTGGGCTGACGACCAGGCTACGCAGCGGTCGTCACAGGGTTACACCTTCAGTCTTGGTTCCGGCTCTGTTTCGTGGCGGGCTACTCGCTCGTCTTCTGTTCTCGGCTCCAGTTGTGAGGCTGAGATCTACGCCGGGGCCATGGCTGCTCAGGAGCTTCGCTGGCTCACCTACCTGCTGACTGACCTCGGAGAGCCGCCTCGTTCTCCTCCAGTGCTGTACGTAGACAACAAGGCCATGCTGGCCTTGTGTCGGGAGCAGCGCCTGGAGCACAGAACGAAGCACATTGCTCTCCGCTACTTTCTTGCTCGTGAGTTGCAGCAGCGTGGTCAGTTGCGACTTGCGTACGTGGCCTCTGAGGCCAACACTGCTGATATCTTCACCAAGGCACTTCCGCCTTGTGATCATCAGCGCTTCTGCACTCAGCTGGGTCTTGTGCCTGTCTTGCCTCACTTGCTCACCCCTTGACCTTGCTTGTACTCTTACATATATATATACCTGCTCTTGCTTTTTTAGCCTTATATATATGTGTACTCCTGCATGTGAACTGGCCTTGTGGCCTTGACCTTGTGCTCGGACTGTGTGGTGACGTTGTGATCCACCTTGAGCTTTGTCTGCTTTGCTTGACTGGTCTTGTGACCCCTTGTTCTCCCCCACTTTGCCTATGGGGGTGTGTCAAATTATAATATTGTGTAGGCTATAGTGGGGTAGCCCATATGGGGTACACATTTCTAGGGTTGCATATTTGTATCACTTCCATTCCTTAGTCAATCATTCTTGTTCTACTTTCCTCAGCTACATCATAATTGAGTTTGGTGAAGTTTTCACGCGGGACTTTTCGTCGACAACGCTTCTTGTGAATTTGACGTTTCTGGCCAGAGTTATAGACCAGCGATTTTGTGTTAATTCAGTCCCTGATCTTCATAGACTCCGTCCTTAGTCTCTAACAGCGAGCATCATCGATCATCGGCGCTCGCGAACGAAGAGCGTCCGCTGCACTTCATGCACATGTGCGGATCCTTCCGCGTTTTGGGGGTGGAAGCGCTCGTTACAAGCATTTTTCTTTCGCCGTGTAACGCGGATGCGCTTGTCTGGTCCTATTACCCAGCCAGCGAGGGCGTGCGAGGGTTGCGAGCATCATCAGTCATTGGCGCTCGTGAATGAAGAGCGCCCGCTGCACTTCGTGCACATGTGCGGATCCTTCCGCGTTCTGGGGGTGGAAGCCCCTTGTTCCGAGCGTTTTTCTTCCGCCGGGTCACGCGGCTACGCTTTTGTGGGCTTATTGCCCAGCCAGCAAGGGCGTGGGAGGGTTGCAAGCATCATCGGTTATCGGCGCTCGCGAATGAAGAGCGCCCGCTGTACTTCATGCACATGTGCGGATCCTTCCGCGTTTTGGGGGTTGAAGCGCTCGTTCCGAGCGTTTTTCTTCCGCCGGGTCACGTGGCTGCACTTGTCTGGGCCTATTACCAAGCCTGAAAGGGCGTGGGAGGGTTGCGAGCATCATCGGTCATCGGCGCTCGCGAATGATGAGCGCCCGCTGCACTTCCTACACATATGCGGATCCTTCCGCGTTTTTGGGGTGGAAGCGCTCGTTCCGAGCATTTTTCTTCCGCCGGGTCACGTGACTGCGCTAATCTGGTCCTATTGCCAAGCCAGCAAGGGCGTGGGAGGGTTGCGAGCATCATCGGTCATCGGCGCTCGCGAATAAAGAGCGCGCGCTGCACTTCCTGCACATGTGCGGATCCTTTCGCGTTCTGGGATTAGAAACGCTGGTCCAAGTGACGACTTGGTCCAAGCCAGCACCTGGTCCAAGCGAACACCTGGTTCAAGCGACGACTTTGTCCAAGCGAGTACTTGGTCCAAGTGACGACTTGGTCCAAGCGAGCACTTGGTCCAAATGATGCCTTAGTTCAAGCGAGCACCTGGTCCAAGTGACGATTTGGTCCACCGGCACCTGGTCCAAGTGACGACTTGGTCCAAGCGAGCACCTGATCCAAGTGACGCCTTGGTCCAAGCGAGAACCTGGTCCAAGTGACGACTCGGTCCAAGCGAGCACTTGGTCCAAGCGAGCACTCGGTCCAACCGAGCACTCGGTCCAAGCGAGCATTCGGTCCAAGCGAGCGCATTGTCCAAGCGACGACTTGGTCCAAGCAAGCACCTGGTCCAAGCGACGGCGAGCACATGGTTATAGTGACAATTTGGTCCAAGCAAGCACCTGGTCCAAGCGACGACTCGGTCGAAGCGAGCACCTGGCCCAAACGACGACTTGGTCCAAGCGAGCACTTGGTCCAAATGACGCCTTGGTTCAAGCGAGCACCTGGTCCAAGTGACGATTTGGTCCACGAGCACCTGGTCCAAGTGACGACTTGGTCCAAGCGAGCATCTGATCCAAGTGACGCCTTGGTCCAAGCGAGAACCTGGTCCAAAGGAGGACTCCATCCAAGCGAGCACTTGGCGTAAGCGAGCACTCGGTGTAAGCGAGCACTCGGTCCAAGCGAGCGCATTGTCCAAGCGACAACTTGGTCCAAGCAAGCACCTGGTCCAAGCAACGACGATCACATGGTTGTAGTGACAATTTTGGTCCAAGCGAGCACCTGGTCCAAGCGACGACTTGGTCCGAGCGAGTAATTGATCCAATTAACGACTTGGTCAAAGCGAGCACCTGGTCCAAGTGACGACTTGGTCAAGCGACGATCCCTCGGTTGAAACATTTCATAGGACATTCCGTGGTTCCGACTTTGAGTGCATTTCATCTCGTGAAACCTACGCAATCTCATAGCACATGCGGTTTGCTACCCTGACCCGAGGTGAAACACGAGCCCAACATTGAGGAATACGCCCTCCACCTTGGTTATTCCATATGCGCCTGTATGTCGATGATGGAAATACAGTAGCCTTTCAACCCTAGATCGCTTCTAGGTCAGTAGAAAGCCCATTAGTGGGCTTGCCGCTTTTCTCTCCGTGGAGCCAGATCGTATCCTGAGCTCCTGGAGCGATCACAAGCGGGAATCCGCGATTGATCTCTGCGCTTCGTGGCCTGACGTCAACACCTCTCACTCACCACCCAGCTTGGACTGCCGTCGCTCGCCTCGTCCTTCCAGTCATTCTCGCCTCGCGGACTCTCCGTTATAGGCCGTCTCGATTGTAGCCATGCTGTCGCGAAGGCAAGCCTCGGGATTCGCGCGGTTACTGGCGTCGTCAGCGCTGCGTGTGTTCCCGCTCGTGGATGGTCATGGTGAGACGATCCGGAACCAGCTCGATAGTCCATTCGATATCTGTCACTCGACTTTACAAAGCCGCGAGATTTCTCACTCGTGTGTGTGCATGGGAAACAATGCCAAGACTTAGTTCTTGTATTGTTAACTCGGCCTTCAAGTCGTGGGGAGGCACTGAGTGGTTCTCCCGTTAGTGGCCGTTCATGTTAAGCCCGGATAGACTTTGATTGGACGATCTCATGGGACGAACGGATGAGACGATTTGATGTCGCGATCTCATAGACGCGCGTCTTTGATGGCGATCCGGGTTTCGAGGCGCCTCTAGAGTCATCTGATAAACGGGTGAATTGTAGCTTATTCTGAAGATGACGCTCGGTTTTGTTGACGATCCGGAATAGATCCGGAATAGACAGGTTCGGGTGAATTGTAGCTTATTCTGAAGATGGCGTTTCCTTGTTGATTGTCCCGTGAGATACAGCTCAGTACTTTCGCAATGGAACGCCCTCCGCCGTCCGCAGTACAAGGGAAGGGTGAAAGGCAGCAAAGCACTGCGAAAGCACTGCGAAGGGTTTCGCACTGTCACGTCCTCCGCCGTCCTCCATTCCTCAGCCCTATCTCTCTCCCCGCATTCTCGACTCGCAGGGACCTCCGCTGTCAGCAGCAGCGCTGGCGATCTGTCTCCATCCATCGCCAGCCGCACTGCGACGTCACTCGCGGTTCGCAGCAGCGTCGCCGCGCGCGGCCCTGGCGGTCGCTCGTCCGTCAGGTGAGCGGCGAGTCTCAAGCTACAGCCAAGACTGCCTCTTTTCCCGTTGTTTGCGCGGCCCTGGCGGTCGCTCGTCCGTCAGGTGAGCTCGCCGCGTCTGCAGCGACTTTCGAGTCGACTCAAAGTTGATTCCTGACTGTCTGTATGAGTATCAAGATATTCTACATTCTCGTTTTTCTTTAAGGACCTGCTTGCTGCTAGCTCTCCCCCAGCACGTGTTTAAAGATTGGTTTTGAGGCGTCTCAAAATCAATCTTCTATCACGTGATGCCTGCCTGTCTGATATTTTACCCCCGCCTCACCCTTCCTAGGTGACTTTTGAGTCGACTCAAAAGTCAAATCAATCTTCTATCACGTGATGCCTGCCTGTCTGATATTTTACCCCCGCCTCACCCTTCCTCCCCCTTGCCCCCACCCCCCCTGCATGCGTAATTTGAAATTCCCTCCCTGCAGTGGCATGGTTGCGACTGTGTTTGGCGCCACGGGCTTTCTGGGGAGATACGTGGTGCAGCAGTTAGGTAAGAGAAACCCTTACTATAAAACTTCTGGTAGCTGGTTTGGTACTCCCTGCAGTGGCATGGTTGCGACTGTGTTTGGCGCCACGGGCTCTCTTGGGAGATACGTGGTGCAGCAGTTAGGTGAGTGAAGCACTTACAAGGTGGAGAGATCATGCAACAGTCTTTGTCCCATCGACTTTTGAGTCGACTCATAAGTCCACTTACAAGTGGAGAGATCTTACAAGGTGAAGCAACAATCTTTGTCCTTCGATTGTGCAATCTTCAGATTCGAATCTGAAGTCGCAATGGATGGTGCCCTGTCATCTGCCATCGCCTTTGTTTCCCTTTTCCGCTCGTTCCCTTCAGTCCTGTCATCAACCCACCCGCCGCCGTCTCCCCGCCTCCACTATCTTTCCTTCTCCCCCCACAGCCCGCTCGGGTTCCCAGGTGATGGTACCCTACCGCTGCCTGGGGGATGGTCACAGGCACCTCTTTCGAATCCTTGTATATCCCCTCCGTATAATTCCCCTCCCTCCCCTTCCTCTCCTGCCCTCTCATTCTTTCTCCCTCGCAGCCCGCTCGGGTTCCCAGGTGATGGTGCCCTATCGCTGCCTGGAGGACGACCACAGGCACCTCAAGCTGTGCGGGGACCTGGGGCAGGTGAGGCATGGGGAAGGTGACACGTGAGGCAGGTTGAACTGGGGCCGGGTGGGGTATGGGACAGGGGTATGGTGCCCTATCGCTGCCTGGAGGACGACCACAGGCACCTCAAGCTGTGCGGGGACCTCGGGCAGGTGGGATATGGGGCAGGTGGGATGAGGGGGAAGGTAATATATGGGCTAGGTGGGCTGTGAGTCAGGAGCCTGGAGGACGACCACAGGCACCTCAAGCTGTGTGGCGACCTCGGGCAGGTGGGATATGGGGCAGGCAAGATCTGGTGAGGTATGGGGCAGGTGAGCCGAGGTCTGGGGCAGGTTGATTTGAAGCATTGCTGCTGGGATCGCTTGTTCGGCTGTCATTCACGCGTTCCTTATATATACCTATGTTCCGTCTCTCCTTCCTCCTGAGCCTCTCTTCTTGATCAGGTGGTCCCCATTGTACCGATCTTCCATTGCCCGCGTCCCTTACCCTTTCCTTCTCCCGCCCTTTCCCGCGTCCCTTACCCTTTCCTTCTCCCGCCCTTTCCCGCGTACCTTACCCTTTTCTTCTCCCGCCCTTTCTCACCAGGTGGTGCCCATGCCGTTTGACGTTAGGAGCGATGAGAGCATTGCTGCGGCTATTGCCAAGTCGAATGTTGTCATCAACCTCATTGGTCAGTGGTGGATGTGTTCTCAACATGTCTTCGAATTCGAGTTCTTGTATGCATCTTAATATAAATATATGGAACATAAATAACCATATACGTTGAAGCAAACATTTGCTCATGCCTCTCCTGCCCTCTCTTCTGGCCCCTCTCCTCTCTCCTCGTCTCCCCTCTTTGTCTCATCTGCACTCCCTCGTTTCCTCCCTACCCCACCCACCCAGGTCGTGACTTTGAGAAGCGCAATTTCAGCTGTGAGGACATCAACATCTCAGCGCCTATCTCCTCCCCTCCTCCCTCCCCCTCTCTGCTCCCATTTCCTTTCCTCCTCTGCTCCCCACCCCACCCAGGCCGTGACTTTGAGACGCGCAACTTCAGCTTCGAGGACATCAACATCTCTGCACCGCAGCGCATTGCCAGGGTGAGCTGACTTGGAGATTGGAGCTGGCCTGAGTTGGCCTGAGTTGACCTGAGTGACCTGCGTTGACTTGTGTTGACCTTCATTGACCTGGGCTGTATGAGTCAACTTCAGCTTCGAGGACATCAACACCTCAGTGCCTCAGCGCGAGGACATCAGCACCTCATTGCCTCAGCGCGAGGACATCAACACCTCAGTGCCTCAGCGCGAGGACATCAACACCTCAGTGCCTCAGCGCGAGGACATCAACACCTCAGTGCCTCAGCGCGAGGACATCAACACCTCAGTGCCTCAGCGCGAGGACATCAACACCTCAGTGCCTCAGCGCGAGGACATCAACACCTCAGTGCCTCAGCGCATTGCCAGGGTGAGACAAGATGACGCTCCTTCCCCTTCTTTCAAACCAACCCCCATTCCTCTGCCAGATCGCCAGGGAGCATGGGGGCATCGCACGCCTGCTCTGCTGCACCTTCCCTGCCTGGGCACTGCCCCCCGCACTCTCATACCTCCACTCAACTTACCACCCTTTCCCGCTTTCCATGTGCACTTTTTTTCCTCTTTCCCCCTACACCTTCATCAGATCGCCAGGGAGCATGGGGGAATCACACGCCTGGTGCACCTCTCCTGCCTGGGCTCCGCCCCCCGCACTCCAATTCTTCCACTCTTCTCGCTCTTTCCCTCTTTCCCTCTTTCCCCTCTACTCCTTTCACAGATCGCCAGGGAGCATGGCGGCATTGCAAGGATGGTCCACCTCTCCTGCCCGGGCGCTGCTCCCCTCACTCTTATTCCTCCACTCAGTTCCCCCTTCCCGCATTCTCTTTTTGTCAGATCCCCAGGGAGCATGGCGGCATTGCAAGGATGGTCCACCTCTCCTGCCCGGGCGCTGCTCCCCTCACTCTTATTCCTCCACTTATTTCCCCCTTTCCGCATTCTCTTTTTGTCAGATCGCCAGGGAGCATGGCGGCATTGCAAGGATGGTCCACCTCTCCTGCCCGGGCGCTGCTCCCCTCACTCTTATTCCTCCACTCATTTCCCCCTTCCCACATTCTCTTTTTGTCAGATCGCCAGGGAGCATGGCGGCATTGCAAGGATGGTCCACCTCTCCTGCCCGGGCGCTGCTCCCCTCACTCTTATTCCTCCACTCAATTCCCCCTTCCCGCATTCTCTTTTTGTCAGATCGCCAGGGAGCATGGCGGCATTGCAAGGATGGTCCACCTCTCCTGCCCGGGCGCTGCTCCCCTCACTCTTATTCCTCCACTTATTTCCCCCTTTCCGCATTCTCTTTTTGTCAGATCGCCAGGGAGCATGGCGGCATTGCAAGGATGGTCCACCTCTCCTGCCCGGGCGCTGCTCCCCTCACTCTTATTCCTCCACTCAATTCCCCCTTCCCGCATTCTCTTTTTGTCAGATCGCCAGGGAGCATGGCGGCATTGCAAGGATGGTCCACCTCTCCTGCCCGGGCGCTGCTCCCCTCACTCTTATTCCTCCACTCAATTCCCCCTTCCCGCATTCTCTTTTTGTCAGATCGCCAGGGAGCATGGCGGCATTGCAAGGATGGTCCACCTCTCCTGCCCGGGCGCTGCTCCCCTCACTCTTATTCCTCCACTTATTTCCCCCTTTCCGCATTCTCTTTTTGTCAGATCGCCAGGGAGCATGGCGGCATTGCAAGGATGGTCCACCTCTCCTGCCCAGGCGCTGCTCCCCTCACTCTTATTCCTCCACTCATTTCCCCCTTCCCACATTCTCTTTTTGTCAGATCGCCAGGGAGCATGGCGGCATTGCAAGGATGGTCCACCTCTCCTGCCCGGGCGCTGCTCCCCTCACTCTTATTCCTCCACTTATTTCCCCCTTTCCGCATTCTCTTTTTGTCAGATCGCCAGGGAGCATGGCGGCATTGCAAGGATGGTCCACCTCTCCTGCCCGGGCGCTGCTCCCCTCACTCTTATTCCTCCACTCATTTCCCCCTTCCCACATTCTCTTTTTGTCAGATCGCCAGGGAGCATGGCGGCATTGCAAGGATGGTCCACCTCTCCTGCCCGGGCGCTGCTCCCCTCACTCTTATTCCTCCACTCAATTCCCCCTTCCCGCATTCTCTTTTTGTCAGATCGCCAGGGAGCATGGCGGCATTGCAAGGATGGTCCACCTCTCCTGCCCGGGCGCTGCTCCCCTCACTCTTATTCCTCCACTTATTTCCCCCTTTCCGCATTCTCTTTTTGTCAGATCGCCAGGGAGCATGGCGGCATTGCAAGGATGGTCCACCTCTCCTGCCCGGGCGCTGCTCCCCTCACTCTTATTCCTCCACTCATTTCCCCCTTCCCACATTCTCTTTTTGTCAGATCGCCAGGGAGCATGGCGGCATTGCAAGGATGGTCCACCTCTCCTGCCCGGGCGCTGCTCCCCTCACTCCTATTCCTCCACTTATTTCCCCCTTTCCGCATTCTCTTTTTGTCAGATCGCCAGGGAGCATGGCGGCATTGCAAGGATGGTCCACCTCTCCTGCCCGGGCGCTGCTCCCCTCACTCTTATTCCTCCACTCATTTCCCCCTTCCCGCATTCTCTTTTTGTCAGATCGCCAGGGAGCATGGCGGCATTGCAAGGATGGTCCACCTCTCCTGCCCGGGCGCTGCTCCCCTCACTCTTATTCCTCCACTCATTTCCCCCTTCCCGCATTCTCTTTTTGTCAGATCGCCAGGGAGCATGGCGGCATTGCAAGGATGGTCCACCTCTCCTGCCCGGGCGCTGCTCCCCTCACTCTTATTCCTCCACTTATTTCCCCCTTTCCGCATTCTCTTTTTGTCAGATCGCCAGGGAGCATGGCGGCATTGCAAGGATGGTCCACCTCTCCTGCCCGGGCGCTGCTCCCCTCACTCTTATTCCTCCACTCATTTCCCCCTTCCCACATTCTCTTTTTGTCAGATCGCCAGGGAGCATGGCGGCATTGCAAGGATGGTCCACCTCTCCTGCCCGGGCGCTGCTCCCCTCACTCTTATTCCTCCACTCATTTCCCCCTTCCCGCATTCTCTTTTTTGTCAGATCGCCAGGGAGCATGGCGGCATTGCAAGGATGGTCCACCTCTCCTGCCCGGGCGCTGCTCCCCTCACTCCTATTCCTCCACTTATTTCCCCCTTTCCGCATTCTCTTTTTGTCAGATCGCCAGGGAGCATGGCGGCATTGCAAGGATGGTCCACCTCTCCTGCCCGGGCGCTGCTCCCCTCACTCTTATTCCTCCACTCATTTCCCCCTTCCCGCATTCTCTTTTTTGTCAGATCGCCAGGGAGCATGGCGGCATTGCAAGGATGGTCCACCTCTCCTGCCCGGGCGCTGCTCCCCTCACTCTTATTCCTCCACTCATTTCCCCCTTCCCACATTCTCTTTTTGTCAGATCGCCAGGGAGCATGGCGGCATTGCAAGGATGGTCCACCTCTCCTGCCCGGGCGCTGCTCCCCTCACTCTTATTCCTCCACTCATTTCCCCCTTCCCGCATTCTCTTTTTTGTCAGATCGCCAGGGAGCATGGCGGCATTGCAAGGATGGTCCACCTCTCCTGCCCGGGCGCTGCTCCCCTCACTCCTATTCCTCCACTTATTTCCCCCTTCCCACATTCTCTTTTTGTCAGATCGCCAGGGAGCATGGCGGCATTGCAAGGATGGTCCACCTCTCCTGCCCGGGCGCTGCTCCCCTCACTCTTATTCCTCCACTCATTTCCCCCTTCCCGCATTCTCTTTTTTGTCAGATCGCCAGGGAGCATGGCGGCATTGCAAGGATGGTCCACCTCTCCTGCCCGGGCGCTGCTCCCCTCACTCCTATTCCTCCACTTATTTCCCCCTTTCCGCATTCTCTTTTTGTCAGATCGCCAGGGAGCATGGCGGCATTGCAAGGATGGTCCACCTCTCCTGCCCGGGCGCTGCTCCCCTCACTCTTATTCCTCCACTCATTTCCCCCTTCCCGCATTCTCTTTTTTGTCAGATCGCCAGGGAGCATGGCGGCATTGCAAGGATGGTCCACCTCTCCTGCCCGGGCGCTGCTCCCCTCACTCCTATTCCTCCACTTATTTCCCCCTTTCCGCATTCTCTTTTTGTCAGATCGCCAGGGAGCATGGCGGCATTGCAAGGATGGTCCACCTCTCCTGCCCGGGCGCTGCTCCCCTCACTCTTATTCCTCCACTCATTTCCCCCTTCCCGCATTCTCTTTTTTGTCAGATCGCCAGGGAGCATGGCGGCATTGCAAGGATGGTCCACCTCTCCTGCCTGGGCGCTGCCCCCCACGCGCCCTCCAAGCAGCACCAGACCAAGGCGCTGGGGGAGGCAGCAGTATTGTCGGAATTCCCACAGGTGAGTGGTGTGAGGGCTTTTCAGGCACTGGGGGAGGCAGCTGTGCTGGCGGAGTTCCCACAGGTGAGTGGTTTGAGGGCTTAATACTGTCAGTCAGTTCAAGGGGGGTTCTTGGGTCAGGTTCATGGTCTTGGGTTTAGGGAGTCATATCCTTGTCTGCTCCCCACGCGCCCTCCAAGCAGCACCAAGGCGCTGGGAGAGGCGGCTGTACTGGCTGAATCTCCACAACCACAGGCGAGTAGGGTGGGGCCCAAGGGGTGAAGTTGGGGTTTGTGACTCTCTGGGAGTAGGACTCTCACAAAGTAAGGCGATAGTTCAGAAGCACCATGAGCCATGGTCAATTTCGGTGCTCATGGCGAAGAAGCTTTGTCCTCTGCCTGCCCTGTGTCTCCACACCGCCACGTCTCCATCCCCTTTCCCTCCCCTGTCCTTGCCCCTGTCACCAGGCCACATTCTGAGGACTGGTCCGCTGGCAGGCACGGAGGACCGCCTGCTCAACAGCTGGGCTGGGCGCTCAAGGGGAAAAAGCTCGTACCCTCTTCTGCTCCTCCCTTCACTCCACTCGTGTTTCCTCTGTGCACCCTTACCACCAGGCCACCATCCTGCGGACTGGTCCCTTGGCAGGCACGGAGGACCGCCTGCTCAACAGCTGGGCGCTCATGGCCAAGAAGTTCCCGTTTGTCCCCGTTATAGCAGGCGGCAAGACTCTGTAAGTGGCGTTATAGTGTAGATTCATAGTTTGTCCCCGTTATAACAGGGGAAATACACTGTTGATGGCGTTACGATGTAGATTGATTCCCAGTTTGTCCCGTTATAGCAGGCGACAAGAGACTTCAATTCCAGAAACCACACATTAACTTATTCTGTACATAAATTCCCCTTGTACTCCCTCTCTCCCCACCACCAGCATTCAACCCGTGCACGTGTTGGCAACAGCAGTCAACACCACATTAGTCTTGGCCTCCTTCCCATACACACACACACACACACACACACACACACACACACACACACACACACACACACACACAGAGACACAGACACACACACACACACATATATATATATATGATATCCTCCCCTCCCTTTTCCCCCACCAGTATCCAGCCAGTGTAAGTGCTGCAGGTGGCAACAGCAGTCAACGCCACCGTCACTGACCATGGCAGCGCCTGTTACCCTTGGTGTTTGCAAGCCCTCTCTTATCCTTGCCCTCGCCTCCCCCTCTTTCCTTGCCCCCCACCCCCAACCGGGATCCAACCGGTATATGTGCTGGACGTGGCAACAGCAGTCAACGCCACCGTCACTGATTATGGCAGCAGCTGATGTCAATGTTTCAACTCATCCCTTCTATTTCTCACCTTTCCCCCTTTTTTCCCCACCAGCATTCAGCCGGTATACGTGTTGGACGTGGCAACAGCAGTCAATGCCACTGTGACTGACGACGGCAGCAGCTGCGGGCAAACGTACGAGCTGGGTGGGCCAGAAGTGCTGCAAATCAGGGACCTGGTGAGTTGAGTTGCAACAGCCGGGCTGTAAGGCGTTTAGGATTGGATTGTACGAACTGGTAGAGCCTCAGTCATAACAGGGTACTGATGACCGCAGTAGCTGTGTGGGTAAACGTACGAGCTGGGGGGACCAGAGGTGCTGCAAATCAGGGACCTGGTGAGTCTGGATTCAACACCTGTACTTGATGGTGGTAGCAGCAGGCAGCACCTGCGCACAGCTGCACTGTGAATTGGAAACCATTCGCCAGCACTCCTCCATTCTCAGCGTCCCTCCTCCTTCTCCTCCCCTGCCCCCTCCCTCCTCCTCCCACCTTCCCCTCTCCTTCCTCCCTCCCTCCCTTCTCCCTTCTCCCTTCTCCCTTCTCCCCTTCACAGGTGAACCGTGTCTTGGAAACCATTCGCCAGCACTCCTCCATTCTCAGCGTCCCTCTTCCTGTCGCCCGGGTGAGTGCGCGGTGCAAATAGGTTGAGGAGTGGTGTGTGAAAGTTAGAAGAAAGAAGAAGGATTGCACTAGCAAGAATGGGGATACAAATAGGAAACCCTAGAAGGGTTGTACTCGCTATAGAGCACCCCACTACAGGCTAGAGCATAAGATAACATTCTGACATGGTGTACATAAGATGGCGAGTGGTGCAGGTGGTGGGTGGGGCAATGAGTAGCTGAGCACTCTCCTCAGCACTCTTCATTTCGCAGCATCCCACTTCTTTTCACTTGGGTGGGTGCATGGATGCTTTGTGCATGGAGTGGGATTTCCCACGGACGCCATCCCACTGGATTTCCCACTCCACCGCCCATGGATGCTCAGGACGCCCATGATTCCCATGGCTCCTGCCTATTCCCCTCCCCATTCCCTCCTCCCCCCCCCATACCTCCCCTTCTGCACCCTCTATTCCCCCCCCCCCTTAGGCCCTCGCCACCCCACGGGAGTTTCTCCTCCACCGCGTGCCAACGCCCATCCCCAGCCCCACCATGTTCACGCTCGACTACATCAACTCCCTCTCCTTCCCCCACATTGTCTCGCCCAACGGTACGCCCACACTCTCTTGGTATCTTGTTCTGGGCTTCCAAAGCCCGACAGTAAGCCTCGTATCATCTGCGGGAGGAGGCATTTCACAACACCTTGCAACGTTTATCCCCAGCCCAACCATCTTCATGGTCGATTACATCAACTCCCTCTCCTTCCCCCACATCGTCTCGTCCTCCTCCCGTCCTCAGTAACTGTGTCTTTGCGTCCCAGGGGTCACCCTGACTCATGTTTCGAAGGGCTGCAGTAGCAGAGAGGACGCTTAAGCAAAGGAACAAACAGTGAAAACTGGTGAAAAAAAAACGCAGTCCTCCTCCCGTCCTCAGTAACTGTGTCTTTGCGTCCCTCTCTGGCCTTCTCCCCGTTCCCCCTCTTCACAGCGCTCACTTTCAACAACGTTGCGATCATCCCGCACCCTCTCACGGACCTAGTTTTTTAGACTTCTCAAAAACAAGCTCTCACAGCCCTCACAATCAACTATCTCTTTGCTTACCTTGTCCGCCCTTCCTTGTCTTCACTACCTCATTTACAGTCTCTTTGCGTCCCACTCTTGTCTTTTCCCCCACCCTTCTCCCCCCAGCGCTCACGTTCAAGGACCTTGGGATCATCCCGCACCCGCTCACGGGCCTCACAATTGACTACCTCTTTGCTTATCGCAGCGGCGGGCCGCAGTACGGCCAGACTGTCGGCGAGAAGGTGTCTGGCGCTGGCGTCTGGTCACTGAACCCAAATACTTGTTCCCTTGGTCTTTCTCCCCCTCCCCCCCCCCCCCCGCCCCCCAGCACTCACATTCAAGGATCTTGGGATCATCCCGCACCCCCTCACTGGTCTCACCATCGACTACCTCTTTGCTTATCGCAGCGGCGGGCCGCAGTACGGCCAGACTGTCGGCGAGAAGGTGTCTGGCGCTGGCGTCTGGTCACTGAACCCAAATACTTGTTCCCTTGGTCTTTCTCCCCCTCCCCCCCCCCCCCCCCCCCCCCGCCCCCCAGCGCTCACGTTCAAGGACCTTGGGATCATCCCGCACCCGCTCACGGGCCTCACAATTGACTACCTCTTTGCTTATCGCAGCGGCGGCCCGCAGTACGGCCAGACTGTCGGCGAGAAGGTGTCTGGCGCTGGCGTCTGGTCACTGAACCCAAATACTTGTTCCCTTGGTCTTTCTCCCCCTCCCCCCCCCCCCCCCCCCCGCCCCCCAGCGCTCACGTTCAAGGACCTTGGGATCATCCCGCACCCGCTCACGGGCCTCACAATTGACTACCTCTTTGCTTATCGCAGCGGCGGGCCGCAGTACGGCCAGACTGTCGGCGAGAAGGTGTCTGGCGCAGGCTTCTAGGCTCTGAGATGCAAACCTGTTGCTTCTTAGAAAAGTATTTTGGTAATTCATCTGGAATGTCTGGCGCTGGCTTCTAGTTTCTAGTGTCTTGTGCTGGTTAGAGAAATAAGCTGCCGAAAGTAATTTCACCTTTTTAATCATCAGCAAATTGGCTGTAAGGAAATTCTACAAATTCATTAAGGCGTATGTTCTCACCCTGACGCAGTTAACGAAAGCGGGCTAGCTGTAACGCGTATATGTTGTATTTTTCATTCGCAGCACAATCCCTCTCGCGGATATCTTTTCAGTTCAGTGGTTTATCGCGCAAGTAGAGAGCTCAGCATTTTGGTCTGCGCCAATTCCGCCACCATGGCCGCCACCATCAACGCTTCGCTCGCAGCAATCTCCGCGAAAGCCGCTACTCCCTCGAGCCTGGCGTCGCCTGCCACGTGGCAAAAACGCGTTGGTCCTTCGACGGCGTTCGTCGCACGCGGTCAGCCGCTTCCTTCGTCGCTCGCCTCTCGTCGCATTCCCGTGGCGCCTGCGACGAATGCGGGCGCGTGCGACCGCCGAGCGACGGCGCTCCGCGTCGTCGCCTCAGCCGTGAGCGACAAGCCTGCGACAGCGGCGACTCCTGGCGGCGGCGCGGGAGTTGGCAAGTCGTACAACGTCGTCGTTACGGGATCGACTAAAGGTTAGGCCCGCCGTCTGTAGCTTGGTTTGAGTGGGCTCACCATTACGACGGGGGCTGCATCGCGTTTGGACTCGGTAACAAGCGGCCACTAAGGAGTCAATTCTCCACCCAAATTCTCTGCCCTTCTTGTCCCCTTCTTCTCCCTCCACCATCCTCACCCGTCCCCTCCCCTCCCCTCCCTCCCCTCCCCTCCTCCTTTTCCCTCTTTCCCCCCTCCCTACATTCCACTCATCTCCTCTCCCATCCCCAAGGCATCGGCCTGGCATTGGTGCGCGAGTTTCTGACGGCGGGCGGCAGAGTCGTTGGGGATCGTGGTGGTGATCTCTGAATGACGTGATCCGTGTTACTCATTTGCTCCCCCTTGCCTATTTCCCCCTTCCCCCCTCCTCTCCCCCCTCTCCCATCCCCAAGGCATCGGCCTGGCATTGGTGCGCGGGCTTCTGACGGCGGGTGACAGAGTCGTGCTGGTGGTGGTGGCGGTGGTGGTGGTGCTTTTGGGTTTCTATTTGTCTTCCCACTGCCTGCTTTTGAGGCGCCTCAAAAGTCCGCGCCTGTCTCTGCACACTCCTCTGTTTCCAGCAGCCCAGTCGTTGCCCCAACGCCTGCCCCTTGCGATCCCCCACTGACTGCTTTTGAGGCGCCTCAAAAGTCTTCCCACTGCCTGCTTCCCCCTCCCCCCCATTCTCCCCAACCCCATATCCTCTCTCCCCCACCTATACAAGGCATCGGCCTGGCGTTGGGGCGGGAGTTCCTGAGGGCGGGAGACAGAGAGTCGTGGTAATGGTGGTGGTTAGTTAGTTTGTCCCTGTGTTCCTATTTGCTGCCCCTTGTATTTTCGTATCCTTGCGTGTTTCCTCCACCCTTCCTCCCCATTCAAGGCATCGGCCTGGCGTTGGTGCGTGAGTTCCTGAGGGCGGGAGACAGAGTCGTGGTGTGCTCACGATCAGGTGAGAGCGTTGGAGTGTGGTGTTGTGCGGTGGAGCGTGGTTGAACACAGTGTGTTTGTGATCTGGCATTGGTGCCGCGCGACTTCCTGAGGGCGGGAGACAGAGTCGTGGTGTGCTCGCGATCAGGTGAGAGGAATAGAGAGTAGTGAAGTGCGGTGGCGTGTGGTGGTGTGTGGTTGAACACACAGAGTCGTCGTGTGCTCACGACAAGGTGAGAGGAGTAACGTGTGCGGTTGTGTGTGGTGGTACGTGGTTGAGAACCCAGGAACGCAATGGTGTGCTTGCGTTGCAACCTTGCCCTGCTTTCAGGACCCGTTGACTTTTGAGTTGACTCCCGTTGACTTTTGAGTTGACTGAAAAGCCAAATTGCTGATGCCCTGAAAATTCATATCGGAGGGCCTGAATTTCCGTCTTTGCCCTTTTGTCTTTGCTTGCCTTCTTTCCCTTTCTCGTCTTTGTCTTATGTGAGAGCAGGGGAGAGGGTGGATGATGTGGTTGCTCAACTGCAGAAGGAGTTTAGCAAAGAGAACGTGGTGGTGAGTGGCGGAGAGTGGTCGAGAGTGGTCTGTGCGTCCTGTATGCATGGCGTGAGTGAGAGCAGGCGAGAGGGGACTTTTGAGTACACTCCAAAGGCACTGAGCAGGCGAGAGGAGACTTTTGAGTACACTCCAAAGGCACTGAGCAGGCGAGAGGAGACTTCTGAGTACACTCCAAAGGCACTGAGCAGGGGAGAGGAGACTTCTGAGTACACTCCAAAGGCACTGAGCAGGGGAGAGGAGACTTCTGAGTACACTCCAAAGGCACTGAGCAGGGGAGAGGAGACTTCTGAGTACACTCCAAAGGCACTGAGCAGGGGAGAGGAGACTTCTGAGTACACTCCAAAGGCACTGAGCAGGGGAGAGGAGACTTCTGAGTACACTCCAAAGGCACTGAGCAGGGGAGAGGAGACTTCTGAGTACACTCCAAAGGCACTGAGCAGGGGAGAGGAGACTTCTGAGTACACTCCAAAGGCACTGAGCAGGGGAGAGGAGACTTCTGAGTACACTCCAAAGGCACTGAGCAGGGGAGAGGAGACTTCTGAGTACACTCCAAAGGCACTGAGCAGGGGAGAGGAGACTTCTGAGTACACTCCAAAGGCACTGAGCAGGGGAGAGGAGACTTCTGAGTACACTCCAAAGGCACTGAGCAGGGGAGAGGAGACTTCTGAGTACACTCCAAAGGCACTGAGCAGGGGAGAGGAGACTTCTGAGTACACTCCAAAGGCACTGAGCAGGGGAGAGGAGACTTCTGAGTACACTCCAAAGGCACTGAGCAGGGGAGAGGAGACTTCTGAGTACACTCCAAAGGCACTGAGCAGGCGAGAGGAGACTTCTGAGTACACTCCAAAGGCACTGAGCAGGGGAGAGGAGACTTCTGAGTACACTCCAAAGGCACTGAGCAGGGGAGAGGAGACTTCTGAGTACACTCCAAAGGCACTGAGCAGGGGAGAGGAGACTTCTGAGTACACTCCAAAGGCACTGAGCAGGGGAGAGGAGACTTCTGAGTACACTCCAAAGGCACTGAGCAGGGGAGAGGAGACTTCTGAGTACACTCCAAAGGCACTGAGCAGGGGAGAGGAGACTTCTGAGTACACTCCAAAGGCACTGAGCAGGGGAGAGGAGACTTCTGAGTACACTCCAAAGGCACTGAGCAGGGGAGAGGAGACTTCTGAGTACACTCCAAAGGCACTGAGCAGGGGAGAGGAGACTTCTGAGTACACTCCAAAGGCACTGAGCAGGGGAGAGGGGACTTCTGAGTACACTCCAAAGGCACTGAGCAGGGGAGAGGAGACTTCTGAGTACACTCCAAAGGCACTGAGCAGGGGAGAGGAGACTTCTGAGTACACTCCAAAGGCACTGAGCAGGGGAGAGGAGACTTCTGAGTACACTCCAAAGGCACTGAGCAGGGGAGACGGCGGACGATGTGGTTGCTCAACTGCAGAAGGAGTTTGGCAAAGAGAACGTGGTGGTGAGTGGTGGGGTGGGGAGTGGTGGGGAGTGGTGGAGAGTGGTGGAGAGGATTGTGTGTCAGATCATCCGGCCAGTTAATTCCCCGATTGAATTCCTCAATTCCCTCAGCTCGCTGTAGTGCTGTGCTGTACCATCACTTCCCCCCTTCACCCCCTTATCCTACCCCACTCCTTCCCACCCCATCCCACCCCACCCCACCCCACCACATCCTTTCTCAACCGTCAGCATCCTCCTTAACCCAAAGCACCGAATGCGATGTCTTTAGAAAGGACAACGTCAAGCTCACTCTGCTGTCCAGTCAACTCATCAGACCCACTTGACCCTCTCCCTCTTGTTGCTTGTTCCTTTCTGTCGCATACCATCTGTGTTTCGAGGTGACTTTTGAGTCGACTCAAAAGTCATCTCTTGTAACGTGTTCCTTTCTGTGGGATGCCATCTGTGTTTCCCCTCCACCGCTGCTCATCCCGTCCGGTCCCACTCTACCCTACCCCACCGCACGCCAACCCACACCACCTCACTCCACTCCAGGGCACCGCATGCGATGTGTCTAAGGCGGGGGGTGTGAAGGCGCTGGGTGATCTTGCTTGCTGTCAGTCCAGTTTTGAGACAACTCATACGCACTAAACCCTATCCCACCGATTCTCACCCCACTTCACCCTTTCCCACTCCAGGGCACCGCATGCGATGTATCTAAGGCAGAGGATGTGAAGGCTCTGGCTGAATTTGCTGTCAAATCACTTGGATCCGTGGATGTGTGGGTGAGTTGACTAAGTTGACTCGTGTTGACGCAAGTCGATCTGACTAATCTCAAATCACTTGGATCCGTGGATGTGTGGGTGAGTTGACTTGACATAAATTGCGCTGACCTGAGTTGACCTGAGTTGACCTGGGAGCTGGCTCTCCTGTATACTCACCACGCATGTATTAGTTAGGCGCCTAAAACATCGTCTGTGTGGGAGCCTTTCCTGTCCACTCTGCACGCATGCGTGTGTATGCATGCATGCATGCATGTATGTATGTATGTATGTATGTATGTATGTTGTCGTGCCTACGTACATATAGGCACACGCACTCCGCAGTCTGTGTGGGAGCCTTTCCTGTCCACTCTGCACGCATGCATTCTGTCTTGCCTGCATGCGCTCATGTAACTTCTCCCTGCATGCTTCTGTGCGTGTGCGCGCGCGTGTATGTCTGTGTGTGTGCATGTGCGTGTGTGCATGCGTGTGTGTGCGTGTGTGTGTGCGTGTGTGTGTGCGTGTGTGTGTGTGTGTGTGTGCGTGTGTGTGTGTGTGCATGTGCGTGTGTGCATGCGTGTGTGTGCGTGTGTGTGTGTGTGCGTGTGTGTGTGCGTGTGTGTGTGCGTGTGTGTGTGTGTGTGTGTGCGTGTGTGTGTGTGTGCATGTGCGTGTGTGCATGCGTGTGTGTGCGTGTGTGTGTGTGTGTGTGTGTGTGTGTGTGTGTGTGTGTGTGTGTGCGTGTGCGTGTGTGTGCATGTGCGTGTGTGCATGCGTGTGTGTGCGTGTGTGTGTGCGTGTGTGTGTGTGTGTGTGTGTGTGTGTGTGTGTGTGTGTGTGTGTGTGTGTGTGTGTGCATGCACGCGTGTGCATGTGTGCATGGGTGGGCGCATGGCAGATCAACAATGCAGGCTCCAACGCGTATGAGTACGCTCCTTTGGTGGAGGCGGGAGATGCGGCCTTAGAGTGAGTGAGAGGAGGGATTAGAGTGACACAGGGGAACAGGAGGGAAGGTTCACGAGGCTCCAACGCGTATGAGTACGCCCCCCTGGTGGAAGCAGGGGATGCAGCCTCAGAGTGAGTGAGCACAGGGATTGTATTGAGTGGGATGGGAAAGTGCGGAAATGGGAATTGCAGTTCATGGGGCTCCAACGCGTATGAGTACGCCCCCCTGGTGGAGGCGGGAGATGCAGCCATAGAGTGAGTGAGCACAGGGAGAGTAGAGAAGAGTGGGAGTGGGCATGGGGCATGCCTGTGGTGCATCAGGCTCCAACGCATATGAGTACGCCCCCTTAGTGGAGGCGGGAGATGCTGCTTTAGAGTGAGTGAGCACAGGGGGTGTGGGATAGCCATCACATGAGGGGAGATTAGGGGAGAGGGAGTGGGAGGTAGAATCATGCAGGCTCCAACGCGTAGGAGTACCCCCCCCTAGTGGAGGCAAGGGATGCCGCTTTAGAGTGAGAGAGCGCAAGCAGTGAGGGAACGGCAAAATGCCTAACATAGTGCTTCCCCATGATTAGGGCTTCCAACGCGTACGAGTACGCTCCTTTGGTGGAGGCAGGGGATGCGGCTATCGACTGAGTGAGCACCGGGAGTGTGGGATGGCCACAGAGGGAGGAGGGGAGGGGATGTGATGTGAGGTGCAGGCTCCAACGCGTACGAGTATGCTCCTTTGGTGGAGGCGGGAGATGCGGCCTTAGAGTGAGTGGGAGGAGGGAAGGATGGGTATTGAGAACTGATGGGATGAAATGAAGCCAAGGAGGGCAGGGCAAGTGCGGTTCATAGGGCTGTCTTTTGAATCGACTCAAAAGTCACCAGGAAGGCAGGGGAAGTGCGGTTCATAGGGCTGTCCAATGCGTGTGAGTGCGCCCCTTTGGTAGAGACAGGCTCATGCAGGCTCCAACGCATATGAGTGCGCTCCGTGAGTGGAGACGGGAGAGGGTGTAGAGTGAGTGGGGAAGATCAGGGAACAGCCATATAGTGAGTAAGTGCAAGAAGAGAGGTTCATAGGGCTGTCGGTCCAACCCAACGTGTGTATTCATAGGGCTGTTCAACGTGTGTGAGTACGCTCCTTTGGTGGTGGCGGGCGATGCGGCTTGAGAGTGAGTGAATCTGCACTGAGTGGAGAAAAACGCACCTGAAGCTTTGCGTTCTGCGTTTGAACGCTTGCATTTGAACGCAAAACGCTGAACGCACAGAAAAACGCAGAACACATGGGGATATTTTTTCCGGTCAGCCCGAATGTCATTTTCGCCAAAAATCTACCCCTTTCAACCCAAATCGACCCCTGAAAACCAGCCCTCCAACCGAAATTCCCAACCCCCCACTAATATGATGGGAAAGAATATTATGTGGGGGAAAGCAATTGCTCAAATCTGTGCTATATCCTTCCCCCCTCCTCCCGATGCCCTATTGGAAGTTTTTTTTGCCTGCCCGGTAGTTATTTTACCCTGCCCGGCCATGCGTTTTTGTAGCGTTTTCAGGACCCCCAAAAAAGTGTTCTGCGTTTTAAACGCTGCGTTTAAAACGCTGAACGCGCTTTTCTCCACTCAGTACTGCAGGGAGGGATCGGGAACACAGAAAGAAAGGGGAGGGATCAGGAACACAGAAAGAAAGAAAGGGGGAGAAAGAGAGAGAGAGCTTGTTTTGACACGTCTCAAAACGTTGAGTGAGCGCACACAGGCAGGGAGCAGGAGGAGCGCAGGAGAAGACTTTTGAGTCGACTCAAAAGTCACCTCGGAGCAGGAGGAGCTCAGGAGAAAGCGGGAGAGGGAACGGTAAGTGCGGTTCTTTAGGCACCAACACGTATGCTGACTCTGTTGACTCTGCTGCCTCTGCTGTCCCCGTCTTTCTCTTTTCTTCCACAGGGAGATCGTGCAAACCAACGTACTGTTGCTGTCATGCTGTGATGCCGCCAGGCCATGCGCCTCATGAGGGATCAACCCGGTGGGGTGGAGGGCTACTTGCAGTCTCCTGCTCATACCTTGCCCGTCCTCCTCTCTCCTCCATCCTATCCCCTCCCCCCTTTTAACAGGGAGATCGTGCGAACCAATGTGTTGGGTGTGATGCTGTGCTGCCGCCAGGCCATGCGCCTCATGCGGAACCAGCCTGGAGGGGGACACATTTTCAACATGGACGGGGCTGGGGCTGATGGGAATGCCACCCCGCGGTGAGTGCATGTGCTGCTCTGTCTGCCCTGCACTGTGAAGCAGTCCTACATCTGTATCAAGTTGACTTTTGAGTCGACTCAAAAGTCAACTCCCTGCACTGTGAAGCAGTCCTACATCTGTATCAAGTTGACTTTTGAGTCGACTCAAAAGTCAACTCCCTGCACTGTGAAGCAGTCCTACATCTGTATCAAGTTGACTTTTGAGTCGACTCAAAAGTCAACTCCCTGCACTGTGAAGCAGTCCTACATCTGTATCAAGTTGACTTTTGAGTCGACTCAAAAGTCAACTCCCTGCACTGTGAAGCAGTCCTACATCTGTATCAAGTTGACTTTTGAGTCGACTCAAAAGTCAACTCCCTGCACTGTGAAGCAGCCCTACATCTGTATCACACACACACCATGCGCCTCATGAGGGACCAACCCGGAGGGGGCCACATATTCAACATGGATGGGGCTGGGGCCGACGGCAATGCCACCCCCCGGTGAGTATATTTGTATGGGTTGCTCAGTAGTGTGAAGCAGAGTCAGCGCTGCATCTGTGTCGCACACACACCGTGCTCTGAATTAGCCTCATGAGGGAGCAGCCCGGAGGGGGTCACATTTGCTTACCACCAAGCGCAGCCTGGCGCAGTTCACCAAGTCAACTCCAAGCCTCACTGTCGGCCTTCCTGTTCCCTCTCTACGATCCCTTCCCTCTATCAGCTTTGCAGCCTACGGAGCAACCACGCACTGCGTACCGCAGTTCACCAAGTCAACTCCAAGCAGAGCTGAAGATGTACCTTCACCTATTCCTCTTCTACCTTTCCTCCTTTCGGCTTACTCCCGCCACCAGCTTCGCAGCCTACGGAGCCACCAAGCGCAGCCTGGCGCAGTTCACCAAGTCACTGCAGGCAGAGACACACCCTCCCCTTGCTTACCCTGCTCCTTGTCCATCTACCCTCTGTTGCCCCTCCTCTTCTCCTCCCTACCAGCTTCGCAGCCTACGGAGCCACCAAGCGCAGCCTGGCGCAGTTCACCAAGTCACTGCAGGCGGAGCTGAAGATGCTTAAAGTCCCCAACGTCGTTGTGCACAACCTGTCGGTGAGCCTTGTGGTTGGTTGTGCACAACCTGTCGGTGAGCCTTGTGGTTGGTTGTGCACAACCTGTCGGTGAGCCTTGTGGTTGGTTGTGCACAACCTGTCGGTGAGCCTTGTGGTTGGTTGTGCACAACCTGTCGGTGAGCCTTGTGGTTGGTTGTGCACAACCTGTCGGTGAGCCTTGTGGTTGGTTGTGCACAACCTGTCGGTGAGCCTTGTGGTTGGCTGTGCACAACCTGTCGGTGAGCCTTGTGGTTGGTTGTGCACAACCTGTCGGTGAGCCTTGTGGTTGGTTGTGCACAACCTGTCGGTGAGTCCCTGTTGGTGGGATGTGTACTTGTGACCCTATGTAGGGTGTGGGTTCTTCTTAGTTGCAGCACCGCTGCATCACTGCTCCATGGTCACTGCAAGCGGAGCTGCAACTAAGAACCCACACCACTCCATGGACACAGTTCACCCAGCAGTCACTGCAAGCGGAGCTGAAGATGCTCAGACTCCCCAACGTGTAGAGAGGGTGTTTTTGAGACGTCTCAAAAACACCCTCTCTACACTACAGGCCACAGTTCACCCTCTCTACACTGCAGGCGGAGCTGCAGATGCTCAGACTCCCCCACGTTGTCGTGCACAACCTCTCATTCAGTCACACACATGCACGCACACAAGCACACACACGCACACCTTCCCCCTTTCCATCCTCCTCTCCCCCTTCCCGTCCATCCCATCAGCCCGGCATGGTGACCACAGCCCTGCTCACGGCAGGCGCCAACACTCCATGCACTCATGTGCCCTGCATTCTTTCTTTCCAACCCTTCCCTCTCCTCTTCACCCCCTTCCCGTCCATCCCATCAGCCCGGCATGGTGACCACAGCCCTACTCACGGCAGGCAGGCTCCAACACTCTCACGCGCTGAGGCACAGTGCGTCCTTTTCTTTTGTCTTGAATCCCTCTCCTGCTTCCTGTCCCCCTTTCCATCATCCCATCAGCCCGGCATGGTGACCACTGACCTGCTCATGTCCCCCGCCAACACTGCAGGCACTCATGCACCCTGCATTCTCCTCCTCGCCCCCTCCTCCCTCCCCATCCCATCAGCCCGGCATGGTGACCACTGACCTGCTCATGTCCGGCGCCCAACACTGCAGGCACTGAAGCACCCCCGCCAACACTGTGTTCTTTCTTCCTTTTTCATTCGCTCCCTCTCCCCTTCACCCCCGTTTCTCCCCTTCACCTCATCCCATCAGCCCGGCATGGTGACCACTGACCTGCTCATGTCCGGCGCCAACACTCCTCAGGTTAGAGAGGGGGGAGAGATGAGGAGAAGGGGTCAGTCAGTGCTCTGTATCCCTGGTGCTGATTTTTTTGTCGACTCACTACACAAGGGGTCAGTGCTCCGTATCCCTTCCCTGGTGCTGGTGCCAGTACAGCTACTGCTGTTCAAGTGCTCCGTATCCCTTCCCTGGTGCTGGTGCCAGTACAGCTACTGCTGTTCAAGTGCTCCGTATCCCTTCCCTGGTGCTGGTGCCAGTACAGCTACTGCTGTTCAAGTGCTCCGTATCCCTTCCCTGGTGCTGGTGCCAGTACAGCTACTGCTGTTCAAGTGCTCCGTATCCCTTCCCTGGTGCTGGTGCCAGTACAGCTACTGCTGTTCAAGTGCTCCGTATCCCTTCCCTGGTGCTGGTGCCAGTACAGCTACTGCTGTTCAAGTGCTCCGTATCCCTTCCCTGGTGCTGGTGCCAGTACAGCTACTGCTGTTCAAGTGCTCCGTATCCCTTCCCTGGCGCTGGTGCCAGTACAGCTACTGCTGTTCAAGTGCTCCGTATCCCTTCCCTGGTGCTGGTGCCAGTACAGCTACTGCTGTTCAAGTGCTCCGTATCCCTTCCCTGGTGCTGGTGCCAGTACAGCTACTGCTGTTCAAGTGCTCCGTATCCCTTCCCTGGTGCTGGTGCCAGTACAGCTACTGCTGTTCAAGTGCTCCGTATCCCTGGTGCTGGTGCCAGTAGTGGGTGGTATTTGCACTGCACTGGGACGGCAGTAGCTGTAGTAGTGCTGGTGACCACAGACCTGCTTATGGCAGGCCCCAACACACCGCAGTTGATGCGAGGATGGAAAGGAAGGATGGACGGTGATATGATATGCCTTTGATTAAGATGATTTGCTAAGTGTATCTCTCCAGATTGGTGTGATGATGTAGCCACTGGAAAATCATTCTCTTGTAATGTAGTTCTAGTTGTAACTCTCTGGATAAGAGTCTCGATGTCGACACGGGAATTAATACTTTGAGGCGCCTCCAATCCAATCTCCTTGGAGATTTGCCTGCCTCCCTGTTTTCCCCCTCTTCCCAATGTGAATCTGTTTGTTTATGCAGGCCAAGTTTTTCATCAATGCCCTGGCAGAGCCAGCGGAGGAGGTATGTTCGTAGGTTTAGTGCGATGCATCGAGGTGTAGTGCGGTGCAGTGCAACCCCCTTCCCATTTGCAGGCCAAGTTTTTTGTCAATGCCCTGGCAGAACCAGCAGAGGAGGTGCGTGGTTAACTGCTCAGTGCAGTGCAGTGCAGTGGAGTGGAGTGCGGTGGAGTGGATTGCAGTGCTTTGCAGTACCTAAGGTTCCTTGTGCCACCATGCCACGAGTGCGAGAAGCGCCTGTTTGTAGAGCCAACCAACACCTCTTTTCCTGTTTGCAGAGCCAACCAACACCTCTTTTCCTGTTTGTAGAGCCAACCAGCACCTCTTTTCCTGTTTGTAGAGCCAACCAACACCTCTTTTCCTGTTTGTAGAGCCAACCAGCACCTCTTTTCCTGTTTGTAGAGCCAGCCAGCACCTCTTTTCCTGTTTGTAGAGCCAACCAGCACCTCTTTTCCTGTTTGTAGAGCCAACCAGCACCTCTTTTCCTGTTTGTAGAGCCAACCAGCACCTCTTTTCCTGTTTGTAGAGCCAACCAGCACCTCTTTTCCTGTTTGTAGAGCCAACCAGCACCTCTTTTCCTGTTTGTAGAGCCAACCAGCACCTCTTTTCCTGTTTGTAGAGCCAACCAGCACCTCTTTTCCTGTTTGTAGAGCCAACCAGCACCTCTTTTCCTGTTTGTAGAGCCAACCAGCACCTCTTTTCCTGTTTGTAGAGCCAACCAGCACCTCTTTTCCTGTTTGTAGAGCCAACCAGCACCTCTTTTCCTGTTTGTAGAGCCAACCAGCACCTCTTTTCCTGTTTGTAGAGCCAACCAGCACCTCTTTTCCTGTTTGTAGAGCCAACCAGCACCTCTTTTCCTGTTTGTAGAGCCAACCAGCACCTCTTTTCCTGTTTGTAGAGCCAACCAGCACCTCTTTTCCTGTTTGTAGAGCCAACCAGCACCTCTTTTCCTGTTTGTAGAGCCAACCAGCACCTCTTTTCCTGTTTGTAGAGCCAACCAGCACCTCTTGTCCTGTTTGTAGAGCCAACCAGCACCTCTTTTCCTGTTTGTAGAGCCAACCAGCACCTCTTTTCCTGTTTGTAGAGCCAACCAGCACCTCTTTTCCTGTTTGTAGAGCCAACCAGCACCTCTTTTCCTGTTTGTAGAGCCAACCAGCACCTCTTTTCCTGTTTGTAGAGCCAACCAGCACCTCTTTTCCTGTTTGTAGAGCCAACCAGCACCTCTTTTCCTGTTTGTAGAGCGAACCAGCACCTCTTTTCCTGTTTGTAGAGCCAACCAGCACCTCTTTTCCTGTTTGTAGAGCCAACCAGCACCTCTTTTCCTGTTTGTAGAGCCAACCAACACCTCTTTTCCTGTTTGTAGAGCCAACCAGCACCTCTTTTCCTGTTTGTAGAGCCAACCACCACCTCTTTTCCTGTTTGTAGAGCCAACCAGCACCTCTTTTCCTGTTTGTAGAGCCAACCAGCACCTCTTTTCCTGTTTGTAGAGCCAACCAGCACCTCTTTTCCTGTTTGTAGAGCCAACCAGCACCTCTTTTCCTGTTTGTAGAGCCAACCAACACCTCTTTTCCTGTTTGTAGAGCCAACCAGCACCTCTTTTCCTGTTTGTAGAGCCAACCAGCACCTCTTGTCCTGTTTGTAGAGCCAACCAGCACCTCTTTTCCTGTTTGTAGAGCCAACCAGCACCTCTTTTCCTGTTTGTAGAGCCAACCAGCACCTCTTTTCCTGTTTGTAGAGCCAACCAGCACCTCTTTTCCTGTTTGTAGAGCCAACCAGCACCTCTTTTCCTGTTTGTAGAGCCAACCAGCACCTCTTTTCCTGTTTGTAGAGCCAACCAGCACCTCTTTTCCTGTTTGTAGAGCCAACCAACACCTCTTTTCCTGTTTGTAGAGCCAACCAGCACCTCTTTTCCTGTTTGTAGAGCCAACCAGCACCTCTTTTCCTGTTTGTAGAGCCAACCAGCACCTCTTTTCCTGTTTGTAGAGCCAACCAGCACCTCTTTTCCTGTTTGTAGAGCCATCCAGCACCTCTTTTCCTGTTTTTTTAGAGCCAACCAGCACCTCTTTTCCTGTTTGTAGAGCCAACCAACACCTCTTTTCCTGTTTGTAGAGCCAACCAACATCTCTTTTCCTGTTTGTAGAGCCAACCAACACCTCTTTTCCTGTTTGTAGAGCCAACCAACACCGCTACTCCTGTTTGTAGAGCCAACCAACACCTCTTTTCCTGTTTGTAGAGCCAACCAGCACCTCTTTTCCTGTTTGTAGAGCCAACCAGCACCTCTTTTCCTGTTTGTAGAGCCAACCAGCACCTCTTTTCCTGTTTGTAGAGCCAACCAACACCTCTTTTCCTGTTTGTAGAGCCAACCAGCACCTCTTTTCCTGTTTGTAGAGCCAACCAGCACCTCTTTTCCTGTTTGTAGAGCCAACCAGCACCTCTTTTCCTGTTTGTAGAGCCAACCAGCACCTCTTTTCCTGTTTGTAGAGCCAACCAGCACCTCTTTTCCTGTTTGTAGAGCCAACCAACACCTCTTTTTCCTGTTTGTAGAGCCAACCAACACCTCTTTTCCTGTTTCTAGAGCCAACCAACACCTCTTTTCCTGTTTGTAGAGCCAACCAACACCTCTTTTCCTGTTTGTAGAGCCAACCAGCACCTCTTTTCCTGTTTGTAGAGCCAACCAACACCTCTTTTCCTGTTTGTAGAGCCAACCAACACCTCTTTTCCTGTTTGTAGAGCCAACCAACACCTCTTTTCCTGTTTGTAGAGCCAACCAACACCTCTTTTCCTGTTTGTAGAGCCAACCAACACCTCTTTTCCTGTTTGTAGAGCCAACCAACACCTCTTTTCCTGTTTGTAGAGCCAACCAACACCTCTTTTCCTGTTTGTAGAGCCAACCAGCACCTCTTTTCCTGTTTGTAGAGCCAACCAGCACCTCTTTTCCTGTTTGTAGAGCCAACCAACACCTCTTTTCCTGTTTGTAGAGCCAACCAGCACCTCTTTTCCTGTTTGTAGAGCCAACCAGCACCTCTTTTCCTGTTTGTAGAGCCAACCAGCACCTCATTTCCTGTTTGTAGAGCCAACCAACACCTCTTTTCCTGTTTGTAGAGCCAACCAACACCTCTTTTCCTGTTTGTAGAGCCAACCAACACCTCTTTTCCTGTTTGTAGAGCCAACCAACACCTCTTTTCCTGTTTGTAGAGCCAACCAACACCTCTTTTCCTGTTTGTAGAGCCAACCAGCACCTCTTTTCCTGTTTGTAGAGCCAACCAGCACCTCTTTTCCTGTTTGTAGAGCCAACCAACACCTCTTTTCCTGTTTGTAGAGCCAACCAACACCTCTTTTCCTGTTTGTAGAGCCAACCAACACCTCTTTTCCTGTTTGTAGAGCCAACCAACACCTCTTCTCCTGTTTGTAGAGCCAACCAACACCTCTTTTCCTGTTTGTAGAGCCAACCAACACCTCTTTTCCTGTTTGTAGAGCCAACCAGCACCTCTTTTCCTGTTTGTAGAGCCAACCAACACCTCTTTTCCTGTTTGTAGAGCCAACCAACACCTCTTTTCCTGTTTGTAGAGCCAACCAACCCCTCTTTTCCTGTTTGTAGAGCCAACCAACACCTCTTTTCCTGTTTGTAGAGCCAACCAACACCTCTTTTCCTGTTTGTAGAGCCAACCAACACCTCTTTTCCTGTTTGTAGAGCCAACCAACACCTCTTTTCCTGGTTGTAGAGCCAACCAACACCTCTTTTCCTGTTTGTAGAGCCAACCAACACCTCTTTTCCTGTTTGTAGAGCCAACCAGCACCTCTTCTCCTGTTTGTAGAGCCAACCAACACCTCTTTTCCTTTTTGTAGAGCCAACCAACACCTCTTTTCCTGTTTGTAGAGCCAACCAGCACCTCTTGTCCTGTTTGTAGAGCCAACCAGCACCTCTTTTCCTGTTTGTAGAGCCAACCAGCACCTCTTTTCCTGTTTGTAGAGCCAACCAGCACCTCTTTTCCTGTTTGTAGAGCCAACCAGCACCTCTTTTCCTGTTTGTAGAGCCAACCAGCACCTCTTTTCCTGTTTGTAGAGCCAACCAGCACCTCTTTTCCTGTTTGTAGAGCCAACCAGCACCTCTTTTCCTGTTTGTAGAGCCAACCAACACCTCTTTTCCTGTTTGTAGAGCCAACCAGCACCTCTTTTCCTGTTTGTAGAGCCAACCAGCACCTCTTTTCCTGTTTGTAGAGCCAACCAGCACCTCTTTTCCTGTTTGTAGAGCCAACCAGCACCTCTTTTCCTGTTTGTAGAGCCATCCAGCACCTCTTTTCCTGTTTTTTTAGAGCCAACCAGCACCTCTTTTCCTGTTTGTAGAGCCAACCAACACCTCTTTTCCTGTTTGTAGAGCCAACCAACATCTCTTTTCCTGTTTGTAGAGCCAACCAACACCTCTTTTCCTGTTTGTAGAGCCAACCAACACCGCTACTCCTGTTTGTAGAGCCAACCAACACCTCTTTTCCTGTTTGTAGAGCCAACCAGCACCTCTTTTCCTGTTTGTAGAGCCAACCAGCACCTCTTTTCCTGTTTGTAGAGCCAACCAGCACCTCTTTTCCTGTTTGTAGAGCCAACCAACACCTCTTTTCCTGTTTGTAGAGCCAACCAGCACCTCTTTTCCTGTTTGTAGAGCCAACCAGCACCTCTTTTCCTGTTTGTAGAGCCAACCAGCACCTCTTTTCCTGTTTGTAGAGCCAACCAGCACCTCTTTTCCTGTTTGTAGAGCCAACCAGCACCTCTTTTCCTGTTTGTAGAGCCAACCAACACCTCTTTTCCTGTTTGTAGAGCCAACCAACACCTCTTTTCCTGTTTCTAGAGCCAACCAACACCTCTTTTCCTGTTTGTAGAGCCAACCAACACCTCTTTTCCTGTTTGTAGAGCCAACCAGCACCTCTTTTCCTGTTTGTAGAGCCAACCAACACCTCTTTTCCTGTTTGTAGAGCCAACCAACACCTCTTTTCCTGTTTGTAGAGCCAACCA